GACAGGAGATTTTAGATGCTACACTGTACCATTTAAACTTTTTATACAAGAGCAAGGTTGGTTTACAGAGAAAATTTAGTGTTGAATATCACAGTAGTTAGGTGCGAGTTGAGATGTTGACGCTGCTAGGCTGGAATAATTAACTGCTGTCAATAAATGTCGCATGATGTTGAGCTGCTGAAACAGGGTATGCCATCTAATCTTCACAAACACTTTCAGTTCCTAAAGCGTTTCTCATTATCACATAGTGGATTAAATGAAAAATTGAAATTGTATTTGCAAATTTAAAAAGTCGTACTGTTAACTGCTATGTTCTGAGTCTGTGTACGTGGTTAACAAACCCTGAATCGTTGTCAAATTCTTCAAGTGGTGATTTGTTCTGATTCCAATCTTCAATAAACTCTCAATCTGAGTAAACAATGTGCAGATGGCAGCTTATTGTGCATGTTGACTGAAACGTACATGAATCGAAATGAGAGTATATCAACACCTTGCATTATTCACATACAGATTTCTAAGGTGTGGCAATTTATTCACGCATCCTTCATTCTATGTGAATAGAATAGAATCCTTATTGATATTGTACCCCATATTTGAGGTTTTGATGAAAAGTACAATAAAAAGATACATTCTGAAAAACATGTAAAAAAAATAACTAAGACTAACACTGAAAAGAAAAATCAAGTAAGACCCTAACATTCTAAACATAGAAAAAATGGTTAATTTGTAGTTTCTGAAGCAGCTGGTTTAAACATTTCACTGTTTTCATAGTTTATGTTTATTGGTAAAGTTTATAACAGTGCACTAGAAACTTTATTGTAACCACTTTTAACTCTGTTAACAATATTTAAAAGGTTGAATGATATTTCTATACATTAATAAACAGGACTGGTTTATATTTCAAAAATATTCAAAGGCATTTGTAAAATTAGCAGGTAAGCCAGGCAAGGTTATCATAGTTTCACTATGTTAGTCAGAAATATCTTCCTCAATATTCTGGTGTCTATAATGGAATTTTGTCAATATCATTCCTGGGAGTGACAGTAAATTTGTCATATTCAAATCCCTCAGCACCTACTAGTAGTCTATCTATGCTTTATTTGATTATTTCTAATTTATTATATTTCAGATGTTAAATAACCAAGTAAAATCAAATTGAAGTCTTTTCCGAACATACAAGGAAGAAAAAAGTGCTGTTGCTTTTTGGAAATTGTCATCCCATGGTACTGGTAGGAGAGAGAAGAGAAAGCAAAAGGGTTATTAAAAAGGGTAGCATTTATTTTGATGACAAAACACACCAGTTAAAACAACAGTAATAAAGATCAAAATAAGTGCTGACTATTCAGCAATACTGTAAAATACTTTATTTTTGCTTGGAATTTATTTTCACTATTTTTCGCTGAAGGGATGATTCAGTGAAAATAAAATTTAGCAAATATAGCTTTTCTCTTATGTTTTACACTCATCTCGTCAAAAATTAGTGAAAATAAATTTCATTCAAAACACTCAAATCTTTTCAGCGAAAATTAATTCCAGCTAAAATAAAGTATTTTACAGTATTGGAAAAAGCACTTAGCAAATGGAAAGTTGTCAAAAAAGAACTTCATCGATGCAGACGTTAAGTATTGATATTTTGCTTCTGTCAGATGATGGGTCAGGTGCACAGTATATACCAACAATAGAGTGGTCAGTTCTCATTATCGCGGTACAAAGAGGAATTTGGAAAAGACTTTGATATCGTTAATAAGCAACACAAGAGCAAATGTGCAACACTATACAATGTATGTTATAGAGTTCAGTTATATGTGTTTGTGTATTTTAGACACTTTAACACTGTGTGTAAACTACAGTGCCTCAATGTATTTATTTTATCGTTGTATATGTATTTATTATTTTGTTTGTGTTACATATCAGTTAATTGTCGTTATGCAATATTTATGTATGAAATAAAGAGTCTTAATCAGAACACAGACTTTTGTTCAATTATTGTGGTAGGATGCATTGGCGAGAGGATGACTTCTGGTGTAATCAATACATTGTGGCAAGCTTATTCAGTGTCAGCCATTAATTAGCCTAATTAAAAGACCCACAAAACTTGGGAATTTGCTTATGCACTACAGAGGAGTCAAGTCTGACAATGGCTGAAGCATTATATATATATATATATATGGAAATGGTCATGATGAATGGCAAACTGGGTGGACAAACTTGTCAACAATAATAAAAATAAGCACTCCCTTCTCCGCTCACCTAACTATGAGTTAAATGACTGGTTATAATACAATGTAACTTTTGATGGGTTTGTGTTTCTGATGGATAATAATTTTAACTTCTATGCTTGTATAATTTCAACTTCCACTCATAGCGAGTCCATCATACACACTAACAGTTGTTAATTATACTAAAACAATTGTACTTCTTTATATTTATTGATATATGTAACAATGATCAAAGACTAGATAGTCAAAGACTAAAATAGTCAAATTTGTAGCATTTTGGAAGGGATGGGCGCTTAGTTGACCATACTCGAAGATATAAATACCTCAAAAGTTGGGGGGTGCTTAGCTGAGCATGGGTGCTGAGTCAAACGAGTATGGTATATATAAATATTACATGTATGTGGGATATGTATTTGACCTGCTAAAACAATTTATTTTTAAATATTGCAAAATTAATGATGGTCTCTTATTGACATTTATATTTCTTGTGTTTTTTTTCAGATTAATGAAATCACAGTGAGACCAGTTGAACAAGTATCCTAAACTAAATGAAATAGCAAAAGGTGATTTTCCGTTCAACTACGAGATCTTGTGAATTGCATGAAAGACACACGCCTGCAACAAACGACTCGATTTTGAACTTGAATTTCTTTATTTCGTAGCTCACATTGAAAGGCTGATCTTTGACAGGGGAAGATTGCGATTGAGTACCCTTACTTCATCGAAATTACCACCATCAAATATGTACAACAGATTATTAAGCATGGTAATATCACCCGAAATATTTTCGCTTTTGTTGAATCCACGTGATGTTTGTCGCCACTACAACGCTATGACCTTTGTTTGTCCCGTTTTTTCATTTGATTTTACGCATAACACAGGATCTCACAGTGAAGGGAAAATGGTCCATTACAAACTCGAATTGAGAAATCATTCAAATGTAATTTATTATAAATAAATGCAACTGAAAA